TCTATCTATCTATCTATCTATCTATCTATCTATCTATCTATCTATCTATCTATCTTCCTCAATGTAAATGAGACCACAGTACCTAGTGAAAAGTACAAGCTTGCCAGCGCCGTGGAAGAATGTAACGTTGAAAATTATGAAGTAGAGGGAAATTACATACTTTTGCCAATATAACCCACAGGGAAGCGGTTTTAGTCCCATAGGGGCCACCGTCCGGCCACAGCTGGTCGCTCTGACTTCTGGGAGCTGTAGTCTTGCATTGCGCGTGTAGACATGGCGGCCTCCATGGCAGGAGGCTGTCGGTCGTCCCTGTACTTGGCCCTGGGCTTCCGAACGCCCAGGTCGCGGCTCGCCGCTCTTGTGCCTGACACCTGCCATGTCCGCAAGGGTCCGAGCCGGTTTCAGAGCACCGGGACTTCCGACCCCGGTGGGTTCAAGCCGCCGCCGAAACCTGTCATCGTGGACCGGCGCCGAGCCCCGGACGAACAGAGTCGGTGAGGCGGGTGGCTGAGCGGGTGTGCGCGGGAGTTTGCAGCCCCGGGAGCTGCGTGGGTGTGCGCGGGAGTTTGCAGCCTCGGGAGCTGCGAGGGTGTGCGCGGGAGTTTGCGGCTCCGGGGGCCGCGTGGCCCTGTGCACGCTTGGATACCGGCTTCCCCTGTAGCTGGGCTGCACAGTGTCGAGTTCCTCGTGTGCTCCTCTCTAGATCCCGAAGGACGCAGGCGTGGACGCCGTTTCCTCAGTTCTGTTTGTCCTAAACTTTTCCTCATCATAGTTGCACCTGCGAACGGGCTTGGGCTGATCTGACCTCCCCAAACCCTTCCTCCTGGGTGGAATCTGTTGGCCAACGCTCACCGTGGAGGATTTCTAAGGCCCCTAGGTTTACATAGTTAGATCGTGTTTCAGAACACTCATAACCAAAACAAAGCCGAGTTTTCATAGGAAGAACTTGGTGCGATTATAGGCTCTTTAAAAGGGGTGTAGGGTGCTGAGTGTATTGTCTGAGCTTAAACACATACTTTAAGTGTCGTGTGCTCCTAAATTGAAATCGGCTTGGATTTAGGAAATCTAAGGATTTAGAAGAACATTTTCCTACAACAGCATTGCCCCATTGAGGTGGGAAAAAGTCTTTTTTGCACTTGATGCACTTGCCGAGGATCTCAAGCTCAGAGTGGCCCTCAACCATCTGTAAGTCCAGCTCTGGTGGATTCAGCACCCTCTTCTTGGTCTCTGAGGGAAACAGGCCGAGCATGTGATGCACATTTAAAAAAGAAAAAGGAAAACTTCAAACACAGTACAGACCAGCAGGGTGGTTCCGTGGTAATGCTGTCTCTTGAGCGAGCCCATCCACCCAGGTCCATTTGTTGAACGCACACTGGAAGGAGAGACCCCTACTCCAGAACTTCTTCAAAGCCTATGTGGACACTACGGGCGTGCTCCAACCCTGATTCACAATACCTACATATATTGCGCATGTGTCTCGGTTTGTAGACCAGGCTGGGTTCGAGCTTACCTTGAGCTCACAAAGATCTGCCTGCTTCTGCCTACTGGCTGTTAAGATCAACAGTGGGCACTACTGTGCTTGGTGGAAGGTTTCCTTTAAAGTCACTTAGCAGGTGGTTTTATTTTATTTTTTTCCATAATTTTAGCTCAGTGAGAGACCTGTGCTCATAGGCTTTGCAGACTGAGAGAAATACAATATTTAATTGGTTACAAAATTGTAACAAATAGTAATTGAAATGTGTCAGTGGTGCCATATTTAAGCTCCAGTTTTGTTTTGCTTTTTAATAAAAAGATGACAGCAAAGCCACCTAATTGCTCTGAAGATTAATTTGTGCTCCTATGTCTGCCAGCTTTCCTGCGCTGTGACAAAACACCGAGATAATCAGCTCAAGGCTTAGACAGATTTAGTTAACTTTGCTTGGCCCTGGCCGGGTCACTTTGGCCCTGCAGTGATACAACACTGCGTGGCAGAAAGCATCAGCTAGGTAAAGTAGAAGGAGAAGCAGAAAGGGCCTGTCTCAGGCTTGCCCAGTGGCCCGTTTCCTGTACTGGGTGAAACTCTGGTAGCTGTTTCGGCTGACAGCTAAACCCTTAGCACCTGTGCCTTCTTGGACAGTTAAGGCCCAGACCTTAGATGTTTGATAAGCATGTAAACAGAATGCCTGCTGAGTACTCAGGGGTGCTGGCCGCTTTCATGAGCGTTAACAGTGGTTTCTGGAAGCCATGCTTTAGAAATGACATTGATTTCCCATTTAAAGAGTGAAATACATCAACACCACACCCTTTCATTTCTTTGTAAACCAGCTTTTTGTTTTCTTCTATTGGCCCAAATTACCTTCTCATTTCTAAAATGTCTTTCTTTCTAGGTTCCTGAGTCCTGAATTTATCCCTCCAAGGGGAAGAACAAACCCTCTGAAATTTCAGCTAGAAAGGAAAGATATGTTAGACAGGAGGAAGGTGCTTCACATTCCAGAGTTCTATGTTGGTGAGTGCCAGCAGGTGCTGGGGTTAGTGTTCTTTGCGTGGAGATTCTTCTTCATATGTCCGGGTTTGGCTGTTATTTATTTCTGACATACCTTACTTGTTTATTTCCGCATCTCATGTCAGAGCTTGCTCCTTTTCTGCACTGTAGGAAGCATACTTCGTGTCACCACAGCCGACCCTTATGCCAGTGGAAAAACCAGCCAGTTCTTGGGGATTTGCATCCAGCGATCAGGAAATGGGCTTGGGGCCACTTTCACCCTCAGGAACACGATTGAAGGACAAGGTATGTTTTTTCTTGAGTTTCAAGAGTGTGAAAATGGGTTTTCCCCAAGACATAACATATGCTATGCAGTAGATAGAGATTTGTATTCTGTGCTAAATATGCCATTGCTGGGGAGGGATGTGTGTGTGCCTACTTTCTTTTGCAGGCTTTTAGTATATGGGCACCACCCATTAGGACTAGACTTCCTGGGCTGGGCATGGTGGCACATGTTAGTTACCCTAGCACAAGGACGTGCTGAGGCAGAAGGATGTTTTTAGTTTATAACCAGGCTGTTGCTGGGCACAGTGGCACATGCCTGTAATCCCAGCATTTGGGGGTTGGGGGTAGAAGCAGATGGATCTCTATGAGTTTGAGGCCAGCCTGGTCTACAAAGCAAGTCCAGGTCAGCCAAGGCTACACAGAGAAACCTGTCTTGAAAAACCAACCAACCAACCAACCAAAACAAGGTTGGACTGCATAGTGAGACCCTGCCTAAACAAACATGGCACCTTCAGGAGTGGAGGGGGTGTATAAAGCAGTGAGGGAAGATTCCGTTTTGGGGAGTAGTGTTTTTGAGACTACTAGGGTCTTCCCACCTAGGCTATGACTGGCCAGAGGCTTGCTATATGAGCTGGTTGACCTCAGACTTGAACCAGTCCTCTAGCCTCTGCCTCCTGAGTACCAGGGTAGAGGATTAGAAAATATGAGCCTTCACATTCAGCAGGATCATCCTTTTCTGAGCAAGTAACCTGAAGACAGACAGGATAGTATATCCTTAGGAGTTTGGCTCCTAAGAGGAAGGCCCCTGCTTTGCTTTATGTTAGGACGTAGTTCCGCAGTTACTGCTGCAGTGAGGATTCTGAAGCAGTCACACATGCCAGGACTAACATAGCAGAGGAACAAATGGTTAACTTCCAGAAAGATGAAGAAGAGAAATGGCAAATAAGAGTTCACACTTATGAGTGCACTTCGGGGTTCTCACCGGTGAAGTTTCATCTTCAGAGAAACTGCTACCACAAGAGCAGGCCTTTAAGGTGAAGTTTGGAGGGTCACAATAAAAACAGCATCTTGATTATCAAGGAACTGGTTCCTGGTGTACTTACTAGTTTCATTTTGGTTGCTGTGATAAGGCATTCTGCCAAAAAGTGACTTGCGGGGAAGTTTATTTTAATTTACACATCTTTAGGTCGTGGTCATGGTTGAACTGAGGCACAAGCCATGGCAGAATGCTGTTTGCTGGCTCACTCCTAGGCTCTTGGTTAGCCCACTCTTCAGACAGCTTAGGCCCACCTGTCCAGGGAAGGCACGTCCCACAGCGGACTAGGCCATTAGGGCAGTGCCCCACTGACATACCCACAGGCCAGTCTGATCCACAGTTCCCAGCCGAGGCTTCGTCCTCCCAGGCTAATGGGCGTTATCACAGCTGAAGAGATGGTGATGTCTCCATAGGCTTCTTCCAGCACACTAATCGGTTTCTCACTGTTACATTTAAATGGGGTTTAGTTGGTTTTGCTTTAATAATTTTGATCTTTAAAAGTCCTGTGTTCCATATCCCATTTGCTAGCTTCTTTTTTTATTGTACTGTGAATACTGCTGGAGTCTGGGCTGAGGTGGTAGCATGTCCTCTCTTTAGGTGTGGAGATTTGCTTTGAACTGTATAACCCCCGCATCCACGAGATCCAGGTGGTGAAGCTGGAGAAGCGCCTGGATGACAGCCTGCTGTACTTACGGGACGCCCTCCCCGAGTTCAGCACCTTTGATGTGACTATGAAGCCCGTCCCTCTCCAGTCCGGCCAGGAAGTGCCTGTTAACAAGGTAGCACGCGTACATTTGCTCAGGTGCAGCAGTGAAGAAGGAAGCACCCTGCGGGAAACTTGGGGGGCACTTTGTGTGCATCTCACCAGCCCACAATTTCTATTTTTGTTTTTCTTAGCTGAAAGTGAAAATGAAGCCAAAGCCGTGGTCCAAACGCTGGGAACGTCCAAAGTTCAACATTAAAGGAATCAGGTTTGACCTCGCTTTAACTGAAGAGCAAATGAAAGAAGCCCAGAAGTGGAGCCAGCCATGGCTTGAGTTTGATATGATGAGAGAATACGACACTTCAAAAATCGAAGCTGCATTGTGGGAGGAGATAGAAGCATCAAATAAGTCTTGATGTGGGACTGGTGAATGGCTCAGCAGGTAAACATCTCTGAGCGGGATGGCCTGAGTTTGACTCTGGAACCTGGGGTGGAAGGACAGAACTGACTACTGAAAGTTGTCCTTTGCCTTTTATATCCTCCCCCTAGCATTAGACCTGCGCTTACAAACATAAAAATATTTTTCTTTGAAGCCCTTTTTCTGAGAATGCGTTTGGTTAATTGTATTAGCTCCCTGGATTTGGTTTGAAAGCCATTAAGTTTTCTTTGTCAGAACCAGCCAATAAATGAACAAGCATCCCTTATCCTTTAGTACCTAGCATAAAGTCTGCACACCAGCTTATTGCTCCAGAACAGAAATCACCTGACATTTCCTTTTTGCAGCCCATAGTGTCAGCATCACCAGAATGAGATATCCTGGGATTTGAACAGAGGAACAGATTGGGAAATAATCACAAGTACACAGCAGTGTGTGAGTTAAGACGGTAGAGCTCTGTAGTTAAGAGCACTTGCTGCTCTGGCCTAAGACATGAGTTCAGGTCCCAGCATCCAGGTTTGTATGTGCACATGGGTGTTCAGAGACCAGACAGTATCAGATTGCCAGGAACTGGAGTTGCAGTGCTTATGCCCTAGCTGACATGGGTGCTGGGAATTGAACCCAAGTCCTCTGGAAGAGCATTCTGTGCTCTTAATCTGTAGCTATCGCTGCAGCCCAACACGGTGTTAAATGTCTTGTTTTGACAGGCTCATTAGCATGTAGAGAAGGGTGCTGTTTTGCTGTATGAAAGTTTCAGAAACGTGGCAGTGTGAGTTGGCATCTGGCGTCACTTCCCTGCTTGTGGGGAATTGGATGGTAAAGTGATGTGTGCACTCTGCTAAGCAAAGACACAGCAGGGTACCGGGGAGGGCCACAGTGTGGAAGGTGGTCAGTGCATTTTCTTGTTTTCCACATGACTGAAGCTTCAGCTCTTGGGGGTCAACAGTTCCTCTGTGAGGACAGGAGTGCATTTGGTAATCCATGCAGCTGACTGTGGGCTGGGAAGCTGGGATGCCCCACATAGTAAAGGCTCTCCCACCTGTACCGTCACAGTCCAGCTGCATCTCCTATTTTTCTGTTGAGCTGCTCTCCGCATTTCTTGTCCTCATCTTTCTGGCTGCTAACACCTTTAGATGGAACATAATTTTACTGGTGTCCAGAGATGTGCATGGACCTCCAGGGACACAAATGCCTCATAAGCAGGATGAGTCCTCACACTGGCCCATTTTACTCGAGACTGTCACTGTGCTTTGAAGTTTCTTTGTCGCAGATTCTACTGATGATAGTTTTAGTGCTCTCTTATTTCTGACTCTCAAGTGTGTAGTTCATATTCTTCATAGCAGGTACAGTTGTGTCCATGGTTGAGGGCTTTGGTGAGCCTTTCAGTGCAGTGGCTTATGTTCTGGGAAATTTGGCTCTTGTTCATTTTCTCTCCTCTGCTAGTCTTTCTGGAACCATTATTTGGAGGTTGGTAACCCTTTTCTTATGTAAGTGTAAACCTGTGTTACTGTGGATCAGAGAGTCACAGGTGGTTGTGAGCCACCTGGTGCAGGTGCTAGGAATGGACTCCACTGATCCTCTCCAGTCTGCCTCTGAGACACGGCTTTGCTCCTGGTTTTTCTGAGTAGGATTTGGAGTTTCCAGTTGGATCTGGGACATGTCTGTCTGGGTGTTTTGGATTGGTAGAAAAATGAGATGGAACTAAGGCTTGCACAGATACCTAGTTCTATCAGCGCCCGTCTGTGGACCCCACTGAGTAACACGGCCCTGCGTTGCTCTCCTGTATGTTTATTTCCTGAACCTGTTTCAGTGTTGGCACTAAATTTCTGAGTCAGTTGAAGGAGAAGAAAAGTTCACCCAAAATTACTTTTCTGATTCGCTCTCCATTTAGGTGTTTTAAGTTTTCTTGGCAGCTGCTTGGGAGACAGAAGGGCAGTCCCAAGATCAATGTCACTCACACTTATTTGAGACCCAGTCTCCAAAAAAGAATAAAACAAAGGAAACCAGTAGAGATAAAGAGTGAAAGGATTTTTGTTTCTGGGTTTTAAGGTTTTTTTGGTTTTGTTTTTTATAATTTATTCACTTTGTATCTCAGCTGTAGCCCCCTCCCTCATACTCTTCCAATCTAGTCCTCCCTCCCCCAGTACACTGATAGAGGAGGCCCTCCTCCCCTTCCCTATGACCCTAGCGTATCAGGTCTCATCAGGACTGGCTGCACTGTCTTCCTCTGTGGTCTGTCAAGGATGCACCCCAGGGGGATGCAGGGGGAGATGATCAGAGGGCCTGCCACTGAGTCCATGTCAGAGCTGGCCATAAGTTTTCTGTCAGGGTCTCATGTAGCCGCAGCTGGACCGAAGCTCACTGAGCCTGAGATGAATCACCAGGTGCGTGTTTGCATGTGCTTTGTCAGTTCATCCATTTCACAGGATAAAGAATAAGAATTTTCCAGTGGAGGCACGGTTAGCATGTTTCACATGTTTCAAAGACACTCAGAAGGTCACATTCCACACATAAATTTGAAAACAGCTTCCTATTTTGCATCCTGTAAAAAACAAGCATCTGTCCAGTTCAGACGAAGGAGAGCATATCACCCACATGTCCATCTCTAAATGCACAGAGAATAGTTTTCAAAAGTGCACTTTAACAGTAAAGCCTTTATAAAATTTGTATGTAATAAAGTCTCTGTCATCTATATACAAAAGCAAAATGATCTGTGCATATATCCGTGCGTTTGTAATGAACAATGTCTAAATGACAGCATTAAAACAAACCCTCTGCGGAGTGTGGTTATATGTATCTGTGATAACAGCCTTAGGTCTGCACAGGAGAGAACCACCTTCCCTGCCACAGTGGCAACATGTCAGCTACTCACCTTACATGTGGTCTTCTACACAGAGCTTTCAAGTATGTACCAGTAGGCCATGGGCACAGATCTTACAATGTAACTGCATTTTCCAGTTGTCTTTTGGGCAACAATTTATATATACATGTTGCAGATTATATAATAATGTATATCATATAAATGTATACACACACGTATACATTTATATAAATATATATTATATATATTATATAATAATGTATATCATATAAATGTATACACACACAGGGTCATCATTGAGCGCTTAACAAATAAAACTTAATAAAAAAAACACTAATAATAAGCATTTTGAGAAAAATTCTTAGTGTCTTAATTACCTTGCCTCAGGCTTCCTCAGACAAGTACTTTCATTTCTGTATTTAAAATAGCAGTGGCCTTCTCAGTCCTACCATTAACCACACAGAGCACAAAAGCCTGATTTGTCGTCAGCTCATGACTCCATTACCAAAAACATTTACACAGAATTAAAAGAAAAATAGTTAAGTTTTTGAAAAACTGTTTGCCAGAGCACAGACAAAAAAATCAGTATTATTTTTAATATAAAAGTCTTATAAGCCTGTACAAAAAGGTGGACATTCGAAAAAGAATTACAGCTGGCCCAAACCAACACATCTCTATTCTTTAGCAGGGCCTGGAGGAACGGCTCAGTGGTCACAATATCTTCTGAGCACCTGCATCAGGTGGCCCACAATCTCCTGGACTATAGTTCCAGGGGATCAGGTGCCTTTCTGTCCCCGCATGGTCGTGCTGCTAAACCCACCCAGGTGCAAACATGACCACACATATAAAAACAGATACATCTTTTTTTATAAGATTTTTTTTTTTCCTTAATAAACTGACAACGAATTAAAAATCTGGAGACCCACTGGCCCTCTTTCACTGAGTTCATACAATAAATCAGTACAGATTTTGGAAGGACAATCTGTAATAAGAATGTCAACCATTTAACAAGTATTCACTTGAAGACTTCCTCATGAGCTGATTTGTCAACAGTTTAAGTTTTAAGAATGTCCAAGCTGAAGTTTATTTTGACTCTGGACTTGCTTCTGTGGTGAGATGTCTTCCTTTCCTTCTCAGATTGAGAGAATTAAAGAGAAACATGTGGAACTCTTAATTGCTGCTCTGCATATAATCCCCTCAGACACCACACCAGAAAGGACAGCTTTTCAGGGCACAGAGGAAGCCAAGAGACTCCAGCTGTGCACAAGCAAAGGCCCTGAGTACCTCACCCATGACTCTCAGCACCTCCGTATAGCGCACTCAAACACCTGTAATTGGGGGTGTGAGGGGATCCAGGTGGTGCTCCTCTATGAAGGATTCGGCTTGATTCAAAGCTTTTACCTTTACCAGGATGAGAATTATTTCATTGACTTCATTCCTGAAAAACAAACCCAAAAAGCATTTGCTCAGCCTCAGTGCAGTTAGGCGAGGGGTGTGAGGTAGAAAGTCTTTATGCAGTGGGACCAGTTTGGTCCTTAGCAGGAAACAGGATGAAATAAAATCACTGGAAGAAAAGAGGGAAATAATAAGAAAGTACTATGACAGGTGTGAAGGCAGTCACTGGTGACTCAGGACTTAAGCCAGTCTCTGGAGCCACACAGTACCTGGACTCTGTCCCGTAACACCTCATCCATGCACATGGATGCTGCAGTTAGAGGTGGAGTGCCGGTCATTCCCTCAGGCAGTGACACTAGCTGTCATGCCACAAGGAGACACGCTATGGAGCTGCTGGTGTGAGCAAACATGGGCAGATAGTTCTATGAGAGCAAAGCACACACAGCTGTGCATGTTACGCAACCCTGCACACTGTGACCACATTATGCACTTTTGCATGACACATACACATGCCAGCGTATAGGTGGCAGCGTGCACCATATCCACTGGCACCGACATAAAACAGCCCATTGATGTATTTCCTAAAACGACCCCAGGTTCATACACCTCATGATGATAATTGCAAAGTCCGATACAGAGTATTCTGGAAAATTTGAATGGAATGGCAATAAACAACAGAGCAACACAGAGCAAGGCCGTCATCAGGGTCTCCACAGCCGTGTGCTGTCAGCTACTACAGCTGCTATGCTGCCAACGAGTGGGAGCAGTCACACCAAGACTTCAACTTTACAGAAGGAGTCTAGGCATGTGCCACAATGCCTGATTTATGAGTGTTTGGATTGAACCCACAGCCCTGTGGTGCTAGGCAAATACTCTGCTAGACTAGCTACATCCCCAGACTCAGATTTTAAATAGTAAAACCACAAATCTTCCTTAAAATTGCTGACAGCATTCAAAATCCTTATCCTATGCTTTGGAAGTGAAAAATTAAACGAGCATTACCTGAATTCACCTGTAGATAATTTATGTGCCGACTGCAGCAAAAACTGAACGAAGTTTTCTAGCTGGGGAATTGATGTCCTCATAGCAGAGTTCTCAAACCATTTTTCCGGTAGACATGCTGCTATCTGTCAGAGAGGCACATGGCAGGTTACAAGAGCAAGGGAAGTTTGAGATTCTCTTTCCTGTGCCACACAGCATTTAAGCTCACTCTTCAGGGGCTGGAGAAATAGCTCACTGGTTACCAGCACTGGCTGCTCTTCCAGAGGATCCAGGTTTGATTCCCATAGTCCACATGACAGCCCACAAACATCTGTATTTCCATTCAGTTCCGAGGGATTTAATGTCCCCTTCTGGCTTCTGCAGGTACTGCATTCACACAGCACAGACACAGGCACAACACCCACAACTATACAGTAACTAAAAAAAAAATCTTCATCGCTAAAAGCTTAAAGCAGATAGAATGTGCTCTGTGCATTCCTTAGCAATGCCTACAATTCCACAATCTACACACACGTTTGAGAGAAGGAGACAACAGGTGACTAAATATGTTGAATGGAAGAAAGTGAATGGCAGTTTATCCAGTATGCTCTCTGTCCACTGAGGCCAAACACTTCAATACAGTGCATGCAACTGTTTTTTCTGAAAGACAAAAACGTCTTCCTCTAAAAATAAGAATTGCAGGGAAGTTTTGGGAACGTCAGAAACAAGTTCAAACAAATAGCAACGAGCAGGGAAAGGATGCAAGGAGGAGAGGAAAACAGAGTTCTTCAACAGTCACACAGGCCGTGCTATTGCTGGTAAAATTCAGACCAGGATCTGAGCTCAGGAGAAAGCAAAAGCACTGAACATGCACTGTAAAAGAGTCCAAGTTCTGGTAAGAAGTAAATCTGGTGCCAGCCTTCCAAAGAGTTGCACAAAATGTCGGTAGAGGGTGTGTCCAGGGTATGGTGGTTGGTATCTAATTTCAGCAGCTGAGAGGCCTTGGGACAGAAAGGGATCTGGATGCCAGCCAGCCTAGGCAGCACAGCTGGAGCCTAGACAGCCTAGACAGCTGGAGCCTGTCTCAGAAACAATAGGGCTGGGTGTTTTGAATATGTAGGGGGCAGAACAGGTGTCTAAGCATGTGAGGCCTCAAGTCTGACTCAACAGCGGCGGCACCATCAACAAAAGTAATACACAGTAGATGAAAGCCAGGGAAAAAGACTGTGTTTAATTATTGAGGAAAAGAATGCAGACATGGGTAAGGCAGAAGCATGGAAGATTTGCTTGGCAAACCGTATCTGTTTCCCAAAATTATAGAACCAGTTTTGACATGCTTGGAATTACTCATTTGTACCTGTTTTCCTGCTTTGCTATCTCACACGTGCCTGGAAGCTCTCATGGAGCCAGCAAGCCTGCCCATATATGAAGGGCCTATGTCCCGGTTCTCAAGCCCTGCTGTGGAGAAGTTGTGTAAACACACTTCTCCTTCACAGCTTTTGAGCTGATCTTTGCAGTGAACTCCAAAACATTCTATATAGAGAATGATTTAAATTTACTAAGAACTATGATGATGGGAATACAGGTATGCTACCACGATTTATGGGCAGATGAAATGTTCTGGGGACATTTGGATGTTGTAGTGTTGGAAGAAAATCACACTCTAGGTATAAATATCTGAAATGTGAACACTTGGCAGTGCTGCTTTGGGAGGCTACAGAATCTGGAAGAGCCTTCCTGGTGGGAACTCATGACTAGGGATGGGGTTTGAGAGTTCATAGCCCACTTCCAGTGTGTTCCTTCTGTTGTCTGTGGCTGAAGAGTGATCTTACAGCATTCTTTTCTTTCCATCAGGCCTTCCCCTCCAGTAGAGACTCTCCCTTTGAAACTCTAACCTCAAATCACTGTATCTTCATTGAGTCTCCTTTGGTCATGGTGTTATTACAGCCTCTCAAGTGCTGAGACCATAGTTGTCTTTTGGCATCATTTACTAAATTATTTTCTCCATCACTATTGTTTCAAACCAGAATGCTGATTGTTAAATATCAAAGTAGCTTCTGGGTTCTGCTCTGTTATTTATGTAAAAGCTCCACTATTTTAATTATCTCGTTGTAATACAATATGGATTTCAATAACTAAACCCTTCAGATTCATTCATGTCTCTACATGTGTGTCCAAGCTTCTGAAGAGGCCAAAAAAGAGCATTGAATTCCCCATCAGTGTTGAAGTTATAGGGGTTGTGAGCTGCCGGGAGCCAAAGCTATCTATGGAAGCCAAAGCCAAAGCCAAAAAGCTATCTAGTGAAGACAAAAGGTGTTTGCTAGGCCAAAGCCAAATAGTGAGCAAAGGTCATTTAGTGGAGACCTAAAGCTATTTAGTGAAAGTTATCTAGGATCCTAACTCATGGGTGAGAGACTGTGAGGACATCCGTTTGTTAGAGCATCCCTGAGAAAACATCCCTATGGTATCTTGCAGGCACCCTATTTAACACATGAAAGCCCTCTTCCTGTCTCGTGCAGCAGCAAATTACCTTCCCCCTTTCCTGCCTTCTCCCTATATAAGTTGGGTAAAATTTTCTAATAAACGGAAGCCTTGATCAGACGAACAGACTTGGCTCCCTTCCTTGCGCTTCTTGTCCTCCCCCCCCCCCCCCAATTCCTTCCACTCTCCTCCCTTAGGAACCCCGTTGAAGCCCTGCTGGTCCGGGGCAGTGAGCTGCCTGGTTTGGGAGCTAGACTCCCAAACTGAGCTAGACTCCAATCTTCTGCAAGGGCATCTGCAGTATGCAATCTTAGCGACGGAGACGAAGACAGACGGAGACGTCTCTCCAGCCTTACTACCTAAATCTCTGCTATTGCTGTTTTGAGATAGGTCTCATCTTGTAGCCAGGTTGTCCTGGAGCTTGCAACACTTCTACCTCAGCTTCTCTAGTGCTGGAATTAGAGATGTAACCCACCAGACTGAGCATTATATATACCTGTGACATAATTAGAATTGGCTTCTATGCAATGTACCTGGCTGCACTTTTTAACAACATCTGGTCCAAGGAAGGCATTATTAGCAAGAGCGATAATAAGGTAGCGATTCAGCAGCTTCCCCAGTCCCAGGTCTTGCAAGGTATCATCTGGAAGAAGTCCATTCCAAAGAAGAATATTGCGGAAGAGCTAAAAGAAAATACCGAGTAATTATGTGTGTTCTCCCTAGAAGCTGTAGTAGTAAGTGAAGAACTCGTCAAACAGCCCAGCCTCACTAGTTGGCCCTGTTGTAAATGTTAGCTTCGGAAGAGAAGACATCCCCAAGTAAATACCCTGTTCTCAGCTCCATGTATTTGCTCATCCTATTTCCATTTTCAGGGTAACCAACCCCAATATGCCTCATGCAACTCTGCTGGAGCCTCTTCAGGTCAATGTTCCACTGTAACTCATCTTCCCTACTGCCTGGGGCTGCAAAGTATAAGACTGTGGTTTCCAGGATCAGAAAGCACTGTCAAGGCCAGTGTTAACGTGTGTCGTACAAAGCCAGGCAATGCCAGGAACCTCTCTCTGCTTCTACGTAAAACAGGAGAATTGTGAGTCTGTTACTAAAGGGAGTAAAGTCCATAGTGAGATCTACAGGTAAATACTGGCTGTATTTAGAGAGCGGAATTCAGCGGTTTCTGTGGATAAGAATGCGAATTTTGGATATTCTCCCAGTATTCTGAGTGCTGAATGACACAAGCAACATGCTACACTTTGCACTGTCATTGGCATTTGCACCGCCTGAAGCAGCTTTCCAACTTGGCCATGACACACATTCACTGAAACTGCTCCTGCTAAAAGGACATTTATGTCCTTGTAATTCTCAACGAAAACGTACATACCCAGTACCCCTTTATCCTTTATCGTGGCATTTGGTATTCATTTTTGTTCTTGGATTCCTTGAAGCACAAAGGTTCACAATTCATTCTGAGGTACACCTGAAGTCTCCCCACCTCCACTCCATTTCCCAGGCTCTATCCTAGTCTTCTCAGAACTCGTCACTCATGGCCAAATACTGCTTATGCATAACTTATGCCGAGTTCTCAGCTCTGGTCTAAACCCTGGAATCGAGACTCCTATGTCACCTGTATTGTGTTCCTTCTCCACAGTTCTGTGCATTTTTCTACATCCAACACAGATTTTACAATCTCTTCCAAGCCTCCTCTTCTTCCTACATCTCCTACAATGTCTAAGAATGACATAAGCCCCAGGTGCCAACATCTGGCACTTGGCTATGATAAGCCTTGTGTTCCTCACATGTAATTACTCAGCTGTGGAATCCTTTGATGCTTCACCTTAAACATCATGTGAACCAACCTCCTTATCATATCTACCTCCACTGACTTGGCTCTCGCTTTAACTTTTTGACCAACGTGTCACCAGTTATGACCTGAGATTAAATTCAACCAGAGGCTTATTCTGTAGAGTCCATGAGACAAGAACTGCTTTTGCATTTTAAACAGACATTTAAATATATTACAAAGCACAACAGAATAAGGCTGGGCATGGTGGCACATGCCTTTAATTCCAATACATAGGAGGCAGAAGGAGGAAGAAATAATTTCTCGAAGAAATAAAACAAACCGACACAGAATATTTTTAATGTATGAAAATTGTGATGTTTAAGTTTCACTGTTGAAGCAGTGTTTATCCAAACACAGTTCATTTGCTTACATAGTTTACTCACGTTTCTGTATCGTAGTGGCAGAGTTGAGCAGTTCAACAAATACTGTTTGGATGCAAAGATTAATATAGGTACATTTTAAAAATAGTATTCTACTTACCTTTAGAGCTCCACAGAACTGTCTTTCTTGAAACTTTAAGTATGGTGACAGTCTTCCTTCTTCAGAACTAATTTGAAACAAATGGGGGCAGAGAGAAAAGGAAGAAGAGGAAAGGTAAGGAGAAAATGCATAGGACTCTTATTCTTTCAGAATAAAACCTCAAAAAAATAGTATTGCTGTTTGGTTTTGTTTTGAGTTCTGTGTATATTTGTATGTCTCTGTGTGGTCTGTGCACATCAGTGCAGTGTGTGCAGAGGCTAGATGAGGCCACCAGAGACCTTGGAGCTGGAGTTACAGAGAGTTGTGAGCTGCCCAACCTAGGTCCAGGGAATCAAACTCTAGTCCTCTGGAAGAACATTTAACATTTTTAGTCTCTCCAACCTCTGCTGTTTGTTTATTTCAATGAAACAACTAAACAGCCTAAATGAGAAATGAATCAGGGAACTCTGATGGCGTCTACCAAGCCTCACTTGGTCAACACTGAGTTTCTGCAAGTGTATCTTGTAAAGATGATTGCCTTTGCAGTTGCTTACAACCTCATTGTTGGTAAGTGATTACCACTCCCATGCTGCTCAGTTACAGGACACTACAATCCAGTACTGGCTGGTTTTGGTATGTCAACTTGACACAAGCCAAAGTCATCAGAGAGGAAGGAGCTTCAGTTGAGGAAATGCCTGGATGAAATCCAGCTATAAGGCATTTTCTCAGTTAGTGATCAACGGGGGAGGGCTCTGCCCATTGTAGGTGGTGCCATTCATGGGCTAGTAATCCTGGGTTCTCTAAGTAGGCTGAGCAAGCCAGTAAGTAGCACTCATCCATGGCCTCTGCATAAGCTCCTGCCTCCAGGTTCCTGCCCTGTTTGAGTTCCTGTCCTGACTTTCTTCAGTGATATGGAAGTGTAAGACAAGTAAACTCTTTCCTTTCTAACTTGCTTTTTGGTCACGGTGTTTTGTTGTAGCAACAGAAACCTTAACTTAGACAATATTGTGCAGCCTAAAAAAAACAAAATGAAGACAGTTAACCTACATAAGGACATGAAAGGACTTCAACTATGTACTAAGTTAAAGAGGTTCAAAACCGCCTGTACCTGCTTATAATACACTTCATTTGCTTTAGGAGGGGGAATAAGATCATAGCATATAAGATAAACGGCATCTGCATAGTCAAAGGTCTGAGTAAATAAGCGTCATTTCAGGGGTGGGAGAGAAAGTCCAGTGGTTAAGAGCACTTGCTGTTCCTGCAGAGGACATGGTTTAGTTCCTAGCACCCACAGCATGGTTCACAACTGCCTACAATTCCAGCTCCAGGGATCCAACGCTCTCTTCTGACCTCTGCAGGCACCAGGCACACATTGGTACACATACAGACAGCAAATGCTTACAATATATAAATTTTAAAAAACAAACCACAAAAAAAATCCCTTTTTTATTTTAAAGATACACTCATTTTAGTCAAAAAGCTCAGAGAGATGGCCTTAAATAAGCCTTACTCATATTTTGAACCATGTGAACATATTAGTTACCCAAGACAGTACAAAACAAAACTTACAGGGGCATAACTTTTGTTTTCAGGTATCTCTTCCTGCCTCAAATAAATAAGAATGCTCAAGTCTCCCCCCTGCCATCCTGTGAGATCACTGGGTGGTTACAGTTCACAATCATCACTACTGAGAGAGCCTTGATGTCAAGTACATGACCATAAGTCTGTGTTTCCTAAGATGAACACAGAGTTCACAGCTGCAGTTCCCTGTCTCCCAGATGCACTAGCCGGCAGTGCTATGCTTCCTTTGCACGGCTCCACTCTGAACATGTCTTCATCATCCTGCTGGGGGGCAGCTACTGACGTCTGCCTCCTTGTACTGATGATGGTGACACAGCGAGGACCCAGCATAAAAAAACCTAGAAATAGTGGCATGAAGAATCTGTGTTCTCTAGGCTACAACCTCCTGATGCTAGGATAAACTTATAAAGAGAGACACTCAAAGACACGTCCAAGTGCCAAGTACCATATATGGTGCACAGAAGAGTCAAAGAAATGTTTGCTGAAATTTCACTTTAAATATTACCAGTGTGTGCATTATGTCTAGAAACACCTACAGTGTCTTTAGCATTAAATCCTTAAACAAATCTGTGCTCTTTCAAGGTTAGACATGATGGCACTTGCCTCTAATTCCAACATTTGGGCTGTGGAGGCAAGAACACAGACTGAGGAGTTCAAAAATCAGTCTCCGCTCCGTAGAAAGTTCAAGGTCATCTGAAGCTCCATGAGGCTGTGCCTTATGCCACCCTAACCCGCCAAAAGAAAAGCTATTTAAAACAGTGTGAAATGAAGAACTCTGACCTCTTTGGATATAGAGGAATAAAGACATCATCTTCTATTGACTTCTTCATTCTTGCAACAACAGCTTTAAGTAAATCCTGTTAAAAATTTAGAAAGTATTAGCATGCCATAATTGAAAATATAATAACCAAATCAGGTAATTTTAATAGTGAAAATTGGTCTGCGGTCAAAACCAGCTGTTATAACACTGTTATAACACTGAAGTAAGAAACTTCAGAGATGCGTGTGGTTTTCACTAAATCACCTTCACTGCTATACTGCATTTTGTTGCATCAATACCACTTGAGACACTAGAGGATTTCCAGTTAGGGAGCCATTGTGCTTGGTGGTGCTATCAATTGCCCTTTAGAAATCTCTTAGTGTGTGTAGGAATAGTTTTAACAGGGATACACACTGAAATGGAACTGCTGGAATACAGCCCATGTCCTTGTACGGAATGATAAACTAAGGTGGTTATAGAGAGATCACAGACCCCAGGGGCACCCTCCCCACTACAGTTTCATGGCATCAAGCTACAGCATAAATATGTTTATACCACAGACAAATGCTACTCAGACTTAACTAGAGAAGCTTGTCTTTGCAGAAAATGGAGATGAATGCAGGGACCCACGTGCTCTGTCCTAAATAGGACATTTATATGATCCCTTTAAGACCAAGGGATGCTGTGGAAGAGAATGGAAAGAATGGCAGAGCAGAAGACAGGGAGACGAGACATGAAATGCTATCTTCAGGACATGGCACAACCACTGCAAACATGATACCTGAGCAGCAGAGGGCCTATTCAGGACTGGGCCTGTCAAGAGGCAGTCACGGACCAGGGAGGTCACGGGGTCTCCCTGATGAACTACCAGCAATTGATGAATTCTGGGGGAAGGACAATTATTGGAGTCCATAGGGCTCCGACAGACAGTTCCAAATGCATGAGCACACACAGTCCTGGATAGAATCTGAGGGTCACAAAACAGAGCAAAACAAAATAAAAGGATGTGAAATAGGAAGGGACCAGTGAGAGGAAGACGGAATGACAGAGATGGGAGGGGGGCGAGAGAGGTGGGGTGAGAGTAAACAGTGTACTATATACACATGAAATTGTCAAAGGACAAATTTAATCAGTAAAGACAAAAACAAGAACAAAAGCAAAACAACAAAACCCAATAGTGGAGTCCCATTTGTAGGTCTAAAGTTCTGTTTTCGCGCTAGAGAGATGAAGAGCACTGGCTGCTCTTCTAGAGGTCCTGAGTTCAATTTCCAGCAGCCACATGGTGGTTCCCAACCATCTATAAAGAGATCTGGTGCCCTCTTCTGGTGTGCAAGCCTGCATGCATGCAGAAGTGTATACATAAAAAAATTCTGCTTTCTTCCAAGCATACTGGCACACACCTGTAATCTCAACACTAGGCAGGCAGAGCTCTGCGATTCCAGGCCAGTCAGGGATACACACCTTCCATCCCTACTACACCTTGTTTCTAAATTTCTAATTTTTTGTTTTTGATTTGTTTCAAAACAGGATCTGTAAAAAGCCAGGCGTGGTGGCGAATACCTCTAATCCCAGCGTTTGGAAAGCAGAAGCACGTGAATCTCTTGAGTTTGAGGCCAGCCTGGTCTACACAGAAAAACTGCCTCCAAAACAAAAACCAAACCAAACCAACCAACAACCAACCAACCAACCAACCAAACAACCAACCAACCAACCAACCAAACAACCCAAACCAAACCAAACCAAACCAAACCAAACCAAACCAAGACAGGACCTGTCCTTTTCTTCTGATTCCTACAAGCCTTTTATACAGTGTAGTTGTGTGTCTTTGTTGGCTTGTCTGTGTCCTCTGACACAATAAATTCCCTTGGATAACTCATTTGGCTTATATATCAACATTTATACATGATTCAAATATTTAATTTAGTAATTCAACTTAGGACATTATATTATACTCATCCATTGGATAAAATAGTAGCTATGTCTCTGACAACTATTATATGTAAACACTCAGATCCAACAAGATTATAACTGAGAATAAAGACTGAATGAAAATAATCCAGCCTTCAAATCACTATGACGAAGAGATGATGTGAGTTGAAAATATTTCATGTATCAGAAACATTCTACAGTGACATATTGTTGGCATTCTCAGATAGACTCCATATTTGAGAACTGAAACTGGTTTACACTACTAATAAAAATGTATGTATGTAGCACAAATTAAGCTGTTGCATATCTTATGCCAAGAATACTGTCCATAAATTACAATTTAGGGAAATGTATTTTTCCCTAAAAGCATATTGAACTAAATAAAATTTTACTCTTTTTCCACTTACTTATAAGTGACATATACTTTAAGAGCCCTATGTCAATAATTATCAAAAACAAAAACTCAAATTTTATTTTACCCCAACTTTTAAACACTTTGCGTTCTGACCCAAAAGAACGGTCATTTTCTAGGTAATATCTCCACACAATAGAATCTGGACTTGTATAAATTATTTTATTTATTTTCGTGGTACTAGGGATTGAACTCAGGGTCCCATGTGTGGTAGGCAAGCACTCTGTCATTGAGCTAAACCCCAAATCTGCAGAAACTGTTACCTGTTTGCTTTTACTAACTTCATTTTCAGAAGCAGACTCTTCAAAAACCACTCTGCAGTGCATTGTTAAACTTCTTGTCTGTGAGGTTGACAGGGGATCCCAAATGATCTCTGCAAAATCTGAAACACATTTCAGTTACACAAGTTACTAGATCATTTACTTCTCATGTACAGATAACCAAGGTATTTAGCATATCCTGTTCTACTCTTTACTGGGGTGAAAATCCATGGCTATCATGACATTTCCTATTTGCATATATTCCCAATTTTTAATCATCCCCATCTTTGCATGCACCCCCAATTTCTTTTCCCTCCATGGTTTTGCTATCCTGTCAGGTTAACCTACAGCCCTAGGTAAACCCACCTTCTCACTGTCTGCAATGTGCCTGTAAAAGGTGCTCTGAGGAAAAGTGTAGTAAAGTGATCCCTCCACACCCACGGGAGCCTCCACATCAGGCAGGGAGTATCTTCTCAGCCTGCCACGTTTCATTGTGGGCTCTGGGGACCTGAGTTCTGGCCTTCACTATTGGGTGCAAGAGCTTTAAATACTGCACTATTTGCCCTGTTCCAAAACCCTGTACTGCCCACTGTTCTCTGTCCTTTAAACCAAAGTTCCTCAAAGTAATGTCTACCTCATATTTCTCTTTCTGTTTGTTCCTGGATTTTGGGACACTGTCCTCCTGGTATCCTCTCTGATCTTTGCTGGGTACTTGTCACTTCTGTGACCTTTAAATGCTCTTTAATGCATACAGTATCTGTCTCTAAACTTCTAAAAGTATCCTTGTGATTATACCAGAATTAAGAATACCTATAAGGCGAGGAACAACTGTTTTGTTGATGACAGCAGACAAAATTTTTTTATCAGAACCATCTTTTCTTGGATCATCCGTGCTGCTGTCCATAAACTCTGTTATGGCTGTGAACCAGGGCATCTTCTTTAGATGCATAGAGTCAATCTGTAAGATAAGATTATAAATGTTATATACTCTTAAATGTATGTATTTTTTAAGTTAGCTTTTTCCAAAATCCCTAGAATTTTTCTAAGGCTCAAAGAGAATAACCACGTTTCAATACTATGTATACACCATTAGAGCACCAGGGTATGGAAGGAGGCATGATGACACAGCACCGAGACGGGAGTAACTAAAAACCATTTTTCATGCATTCATCCATACAACAAAAAATACAGCAAAGGCCCACTGTGTGCCAGGATATTCAGAGACTAGCAATGGCTGCACTCTGGCAGAATGAAATAACATGCATGAGTTAGGCCTTTGGAATCACCAAGAGATTTGGTGATGAAATTCACTCATCTGCCCAAGCAAACTGGACTTCAGTCCTTTCACTTAAGAATACATGTGTAATGTGTATGTGGTTTATCTTGCTGGCCGACCAGCAAAGAGCAAATGGCTACTTCCACTTGAGTAAATGAAAGAAATGATCTTGGGTGGCTAACCCCAGGTGCTGCCCACACGCTCCCTAAGAGTTCCTCAGAAATGACACTGCTCCAGCCTGGGAAGGTGGTGTGGTCCTAGGAAGCCTGCAGACACAGTTACGACCAAGGAGGAGACCTTGACACCTCTCCATCATGTATCTGTAAGCTCTTGCTGAGAGTTCTCCTTGTAGAGCTTCATCCTCTAGCGTGCAGGACCTTGGAGTGTTTTCACATGTGGAGGGTGAGAGCTGCTCTGCATTTTATTAATTCTTTCTGACAATGCTTACAATCCAGCATCTCTTTATATAGCCCTGAATGTGGGTTAGATAAAATCTTCTATATTTAATTTCTCCTAATTCCAAGTTAGCTACTTCATGACTCAGCAGGTAAAGGCACTTGCTGCCAGGTCTGATGGCCTAAGGACACCCATTTACTCCCAGCACTTGGGAAGCAGAGGCAGGTGGATCTCTTGAGTTGGAGGCCAGCCTGGTCTACAGAGCCATTTCTGGACAGCCAAGGCTACATAGAGAAACACTGTGTCAACAAACAAAACACAGAAGAAAACAACTCCACATTACCTTCCCTATATCTTTTTTCTTATTACTTTCAAAGAGTAGTTCTCAGCTCTGAATCCAGGTTTTAAAGCCAGTATACTCACTCCTGAACAGGAATTTCGGCCTCACTTTCAAGAAAGTGTACTCCTCATGAATTCCTGCATACTCCCAAGACCCCACTTAACATCGCCCTCCTCATTAACTCTTCTCAGTTTGCCATTTCCTTGGAAAAGGTTTGTAAGTCAAATTCACCAAACTTAACATTGCATAACTCTGGGGAAGTTTCCCCACCAGAGTATAAAATGGTTTGAATTGCTGTTATTTGGTGCTGCTATGCCTTAAGGACAAGCAAGATGGCTGAGGATGTTGCTCAGTGATTTGCTGATTGTTCAGGCCCTGGGTTTCACTCCAACATCACACATACACACACAATCATGGAAGAGTCCCAAAGAATATGGAGTACACATTTTTGGACTAAATTCAAGGCTCTACATTTTACCTACAACTTTAAGAGTAAATGGTTTTGTTTTTATTTTTATTTTAATGAGTACACGTGCTATGGCATGGCATGTGTGAAGGCCAGAGGACAACTTGTGGAAATTGATTCTCTCCTATCATGGGTTCCAGAGTCCGAACTCGGGCCGTAAGCCTTGGCAGCAAGCACCTCTACCTGCTGAGCCATCCTGCCAGGCTGAGGCTGTGATCCTCTGTAGCTAACCTGACAGCAAGAGCATGCAAACAGCTGACATGACTAGGACAGTCAGATGTGAAGCACTGGTACCTTAAGAGGGTTCCAATCAAGCAACTGAACTCGTACGAGGGGACTTAAAAGCTTTGGTAAGCAGAAACCAACGAAGGCTTCATAGTAGGAATCAGGAAACTTTTCGCGCCACTGCTGAAATTTCAATAAAATATTCTGGACGTTACAAAAATCATCATGCACATCTTCAAAAACTCTCTTACAATCTTGTAAAATGTCACCTGCAAACAAAGTTAAGTCTCTTTATGTTATACATTTTAAGTGTATTTCCTTACCAACAGTCATGAGTTGCTACTTAACTAGGCTGGAAACTTTTGTATTTCATATATTTCATTTAATTTAAAAAGTCACTTTAGTAATAAAAGTGATAATATTGACAATAATAAAGCCTACCATATGCCTATATGCCAAAGTACCACACATTTATTGTCTTAGTTCACTACCATAACCATCTTCTCTTCAAGGCAGAAATAACCCCCTGCTTTAAACAACACAAGCAAGCAAAAGACGGTGAACTGAGGTGGTCAAGAAAAAAGTGCCTTTCCATTGAGTGTGGTGAAGAGCAGAGCCCAGAGCCTTTCAAGTGCTGCACTCTGAGCCATCTTGTGTCATCAGAGGTAGTTTCACCTATCAGCAGAGCACAGACAGTCCACAGAATGGGAGAGAAGCTTGACCACTGTATTCAGACACAGGGTTAAGACCCAGAACTCAAAGAACCACAGAAATTAAAAACCACAGAAATGCAACTGTCAACAAGTGAGTTAATGAACTGAACAGTTTCAGAAAACCCCAAAATGGCCATGAACAATTTTTAAAGCTGCCCAACATCCCTAGCCACCAGGGAAGCACAAATTAATATTACTCTGTGATTCTACGTCACCCAGTCCGAAAGGCCACCAAAATATCCAACAGCAGATGCTGGAGAATATGGAGAAAGAGGAGCCTTATTCACTGCTGGTGGGAATAAAAATTAACACAGCCATGACAGCAGTCAGCTTGCAGGGCCCACAAAAAATTAAAAATCAATGACCCAGCCATTTTACTCCTAAGCACATACCCACAGAACTCCACACCCTATCATACAGATATCTGTGCCTTGTTTTTTGATGCTCTATAGTAAGGAAATGGAAGCAACCGAGATGTCTATCACACATGATCTGATATTGAGAACCTGGTACATATATAACAAGGACTACTACTCAGTGCAAAGGAAAAATGAAACCACAAAATTTGTAGGAAAATGGGTGGATTTAGAATGGACAAGATTAAGAGTGGTCACTTAATCTCAGGAAAAAAAGTAGCTCATAGTCTTCGTCCTATAATACATGTCTTTATGGAAACAAGTGTAGTCACAGTGTGGCAATTAGAAAGGAGAACAAGAAGGCGATAGTAGGAGATCAAAATAAAGGATACACAGTCATGAAAGAGGACATAAAGCTACATGCCTTTCTAGTTTCAGTCCTGTCCTAGTTTTTTCCTCTTCAAGTGTGTGTATACACATGCGGAAGACAGGTAAATAAAACTGTTCCTAAAGTTTTAGTGCTCCACCATCCTCCTCCTTCAAGACTACTCCAGGAACACAGGATGTTCCACAGGATGTGTGGGACCGCATGCTCTGGGACAGGCACCCTGGGTCCTTCCCAATCTCTGCAACAGGCGCTGCTACACTTTTAATAAACTTTTTTTTCCCCCACAGAAAACTGGAACACCAAAATATAACTGATGGTAAAAGTGCAGAAAGGCTTCAGGACTGCTATGCTCACTGTGGTGCTCATCGAGATACACAGTTGGAAACTTGGCAAATGTCTGATTTTGAGGCTTTAATTTAAAAGCCTAGCTTTGTGATGCTTTTAATCTGAGTTCATTAATAAAGTGATTTTTTAAAAGTGGTTTCACTAACTTTAGTTGTTTTAAATTACAAATGGTAAGAAATAACGAAAGCAATGCTGCCAAGATGCTCACTTATAAGCCAGGAGCCAGCAGCAAGCCAGAACACTCACTTTACTCCTTTTCAGAGGCAGCAAATCTTATGCAGAAAATGTTCTCATTTTTCTTTAGTTTTTCTAACTGTCGTAGTGATATGCACTTAAAGGCAGGCTCAACAAAGCTTTCCTTACTATTTCAAAGCTTTGACTAGGTTAGAACGTTGGCAATTGACCTTGGCGTTTTTGGAAGTCAGTCATCTCTGCAGGAGACAGCTCATCCTCACTAGATGTCCCTTCCTGATGAGCACAGCTGCCAGTGAGCACCCTTGTCTGTCTTCTCTGCATCCTGTATTGAGCAATAAAGGAGAGTAAATCAGAAACAAACAGTTCCTCTGGAAAAGACTGTAAAACAATGTTATTTTTATAATGGATATACCATCATATAGACAACATTTTCTGTGACTATTTTCTGACACTTTCTGCTTCCTTAGCTTCTTTGGTTCTAATGTTCAGCTTACATCATTCTCTGAATGTAAGGGTTTCTTGAGGAGAGTGCAACTAGTTAGAAGCGGTTTCTAGTTCAAAGCAATCAGCCTAACAAAGGCCATCTCACCAGTTCTACCTGAGCCCCCAGGCTGTCTCTAAAGCAGCAAGGCCAGATGGACTCAGCTTTGGTTTTACATCATTCTTGAAAATCCGGCTCTTAAAGCTGATTCTACTGAAATAGTGAATCTCTTTGTTCCGTGTGTTCAGCCTTCATATTAACAGGTACCTTCGAGCTTCAATCTCTTCTAAAGTCCGCTGATCCTTTTCATCTACAGCCAAGCTTCCATTTGCCGATGTCTCTGCTTTGCCTGTTAATTCACAAAATTAGCTTTGGATTATAGTCTCAAAACACTGAATCCCTGAAGGTATACATAGTTTCATGAAATATATGAGTGTGTGTTTAAGCACATGTAATATGCTCAAAATAATACATTTTGCTATGTGATGGAATTTAAATGTCCATTACCTATCAGTTTTAACAGCCATCAAGCAGGTTGGCCTAAATATATATACCTTGCTGGTGTATGCCATTTATCACAGCAGGTTTCTTTTTTCAGCCTATTTTTTCTTTTCTAGCAATTTATACCAAATTTCCCCATAGTCATGTACTAGCGATATTTACACTGCCAACATTTATTCCACACTCTTCAGCCACACGGGACCTCATTCCCCAAGCTAAGACACTAGTGCAGCTGCAGCGAGGCATGCAGAACCGAGGGGCCACTGCCCACCAAGTCCTCTGAGACCAGCCTGTGCAGCCTTCCACCACAGAGCTGGACGCTGGGAAATCATTTCCACACTCTGCTCAACTAATGGGGAATCAACACTCAGTGACAAGGGGCTGTGGAGATGCTCGGCTGCTTTTCCAGATGACCAGGGTTCAGTTCCAAGTTCCCAAATGGCAGACTGTTAAGTGTCTGTAATGCTGGTCCCAGGGGATCTTATACCCTTTGGTCCCTGAACACTCCTGCACACACCCTATGTACACACACACCTAAAAATACACTTTATGAGGGATTAGTGTGAAAATACAGAAAAAGGGTTAGTACTGGCTAGTTTCATGCTAACTTGACACAAGCTAGAATAATCAGAAAGAAGGAAAATCAGCTGAGAAAATGTCTCCAGGGGCTCTGTCTGGAGGCAGGCCTGGAGGGCATTTTCTTAACTAGTGACTCATGGGGCGTACCCAGCCCACTGTGGGTGGAGCTACCGTAGGTTTGTCCATGGCTGTATAGGAAAGCAGGCTAGTAAGCAGCATCCCTCCACGACCTCTGCATCAACTCCTGCCGCCAGGGACCTGCCCTGCTTGACTTCCTGACCTCAAGGCTTTCGATGATGAACTGTTATATGAAACTGTGAGTGAAATAATCTCTTTCCTCCCCAGCTTGCTTTTGGTCATGATATTTCATCACGGCAATATCGACCCTAACTAAATAGCTTTCTTCTTTTTCTTATTTATTTATCTATTTATTTATCTATTTATTTATTTATTTATTTTGCTTTCTTCTTTTTCTTAAAAAAGTACAGAATTAATTTTTATTTTTACTCTCCATATGGCAAGTTAGCTTCAAAAATGATACTGTAATATAAAAAAACACTAACGTGGTAACAGTTGCAAATACAATGATTCACATTTTAACTCATCTTGCCTCCGTTTCAGAAGAGCTTCTGACCGTTTTAAAAGCAATGTGTATGTAGATGATTCTAGTTCTTCAATGCTGATAATCTGAAAAACAAAAGTGACATTCTGCAGTTCATCAATAACGACTTATAAAAATAGTAAAAGGCTTTATTTGCAATCACATGTATAACTCAATTCCTGAATAAATAGTTCCAACATTAGTGCAAGTAACTATCACAAAATATGAAACCAAATGATATGGAGTGAGGAGAATGAGCATGAGAGACAGGTAAGAGGAAGGGTCCCTCTTGGAGAACGGAGAGGAAGAAATGGGAGGACAGATGGTGAAATATGAGAAACTGAAGAATGGGGCTGGGCTGTGGCTGAGCAGTAGAATGCCTGCAAAGCACATCTAAGCCCTGGGTTTGAGCCCTGGCACTGGAGCAAACTTCATAAAATGGAAGCGTCACTATGGACAGGAGGGCTATGCTACAGAATGTGTGACTAGGTGAAACTGGAATCCTACGTCCCAGAGAGCAGTCACTTCATTCCAGTGCCTGACAGCTGCTTCCAGGATACAGCTGTAGCAACCCCGTCTGGGTGGGTAGGCTCCAGACTTGGGCCTTGTTCACAGGCAAACCACATTCAGCTAATAAACAAAAGACTTTTTCTGTGCTCAAAGCAGACATTTTACAAAATCTATTTTTATTAATCTAGCAAAATAATAAACCATCATTCATTCTGGAGAATATGTTGGCAATATGTTGCATAAGTCTGAAAATTACTTATACTTAGCAATTCGCTTTATTTTCCAGTAATATGTCTTAGTTGAAATTTTAACAGAAAAATGAAACTTTTGTGTTACGTATGTCTGAAATTTTTTTACTTACAACAGCAAAACAAAACAAAAACAAAAATCAATTAACAGCTGTGTTTTAATTAAGTGAATGTGCAGTACTATGTTAAAATGTGTGTGGTGCATATCTAACTGTACTCCCAGAACTCAGGAGGCTGAGCGGAATCATGAGCCAAGGCCACCCTGGGGTATACAGTAAGAGCCCGCTGAAAACCCACACCACCATTCATTCCTCTTTGATGTGGGTTCCTGGAATCAGAACTCAGGTCCTCACATTTGCATGCCATTTCACTCATCTCGCCAGCCTGTCTCTTCTTTGCTAACTGACTAATAAGGAAGGGTTCTCTCTTCATGCATGTTTATACACACCTTTTCATTTAGACAATCAATTATATTTTCCACGTAAGTTTTCATGCCTTTGTAGAATTTGTAGTTTAGAGTTTGATCTGATGTGTTCTCGAGGTTCTCAATAGCAGTCTTTGAACTCTTGATGTCTTGCACGTACTTTTCATATTCTCTCTGGTGCGACCGATGAGATTCCTGCAGTAATGCTAATCTAAATAAGATAAAATGAAAGCTTCATTTTTCATACTTCTCCTTTTAAGCAGTACTCTAAAGAAGGTGTTTTCACACAAACCAAGGAAAGTGATTACCATATAAACCTGGATTTATTAAGACTTGTGTGGCTAGGGAGATCACAATCGCCATTCTCAAAAAAGTACAATGTAGATTAATGTTTCAGATACTCTAAGTAAATGCCAGTTTTAACTGTATTATATTCTATTTTCAACTAGTTTATTTAAAAAAAAAAAGACTTTTTAAAGTTTTTTTTTTTTTTAAATAAACCAGTACAAAATGATACCAAAAAGAAAGTTGGCTTCCCCAAGGAAACTGTTGCCACCAGTTTTTTTTTCAAACTAGTTCAAAACAGAATCTAACACAGTTAAAATTAGCATTTACTCAGAATGTCTGAAACACTAATCTACATCAGTGAGTGACCCACTGCCTTTGGCATTCTATCACTCTTTGACGATAGATAATTCTCTTAAGCACAGTCCCTCAAGAAACACCATATGGGTTCTGGTGTACATATAATTCTAAATATAATAGCTTGAAGACTGTTTTATGCTAAGGAAAGCTAATTAAAATGCCAGTGAACAATAATGAATGTCCCTGGGAAACAGTGCTGAATCTGCTCAAGTGATGTCACTCAGTATCACTGGTTCAGAACGTTCACTTAGGAGTGGGCAAGCTTCATTCTGCTGCAGGTCAGACACAAGTACCCTTAGCTTCTAGAGCTACAGAACTGCTCTTGCAACTCCTCAGTTCTGTGTTGTATCGCCAACATGCCACAAGACATACCAAACCCTCCAGCAGAGCGGTGTGATGAACGCAACTGACAAACACGGTGGCTGGAGTCAGCCAACCCCACAAAATAGACTCTGCACGCCGCACACCTTTATAAAAGATATCTTTAAGCAAACAATATACAATGGTATTTTCTGTAATGTGACTGAATTACTTTAAAGCTGACTTATAGATACTAGGTAAGGAAAATTTGAATTTATCCTCAGTTAAGAAAAAAACAAATCTTGAGCTAGTGAGATGGCTCAGAAATAATGCACACGCCTGACATCCTGGGTTCAATCTCCAGACCATGTAAAGATGGAAGAAGAAAACCAACTCCACAAAGCTGTGCTGTGACTCTGCCCATGTACCACATATGTATGTGCACACACACCTTGGAAAAAAATTGAAGATGTTCTTTAAAAAGCAGCAGAATCGAATACACACTGGTACCAGACTTTCACTTAGGTGAACCAAACCCTGACCATTATACCTATTTCATAAACACAGGCACTGGCAGACACTAGATTCTGCATACGTTATATAATAAAATATTTCAAACAAAATGGCTTTTGACAGGACATGCCTTAATTTTAGCAAAAGTGTAGTCATTAGGTTAGCACTGTCTGCTTGGGGTAATTGTCAATATGTAAAAAAGGATTTTGCTTTAGGAAGACACTACACCAAGAATCATAAAAATAAGCTCTTGGTCATGGTTAATTTCCCCTGCTAATGTATTAAAAAAAACCAAAAACACACATGTACACACACACACACACACACACACACACACACACACACACACACCCCAATACTATTGCACAAAACTTGTAATCCCAGCAGTATAGATGCTAAGGTAGGACAATCATGAGTTCAAAGCCAGCCACAGCTACACAGTGAAGTCTGAGGCTGGCCTGGACTACAGGGTAAAACCCAACCTCAAAAACCAAAGAACAACAACAAAGCAACATGTTCACTACTATAACACATAGACAGAATTAGAACAGAGAAAGAATTACAATAAATTAACTGTAGACACACATGAACTGAACTTATTCAATACTGTAGAAGTCACCTACATGTATCTATTTAATACATGGAGAAGAATGATGGAATGTGGTGGAAGCACATGGAGGTTCCTGTAGCCTAGGAACTCAGAGGATAGTGCAGGGACAGCTGGGCCACAAACCAAGACCATGTCTCTAAAGACAAAATGCACAAGTATAGAAAAATGCCTATAGTAACATTAAGTTAAACAATGTAATTACTGGTTTTGTATGAAAGGAATATCTGTCATTAAGACCCACAAGAATAAAAAAAATCTGCTGTGTTTGTGTGGTAAAATAAGAGATTAATTTTTTCCTAAAAACCTGTTTAATAACTAAATAATAATTAAAAGAACATTAGTGCTTTTTTACTATTAGGATATAGTATACATTATATAATTTACGTTAGGATAGATGTAAATTACAGAATAAACATTACTCACCTATTATTTAATTGTTTCTTTATAATTTCCAAATTTACTGGTGGAAATGAAATGGAAGTATCAAACTTCTTCACTGTTTGAGATTTACTGCTGTGGGAAAGGTCTATGTTTTGTCCCTAAAAAATGTAAAAAATTATTTTTAAAAAACACTTCATTTACCACACAAAGGAAACTAAGTAAGGTTTCCATGCCTTTGCAGTATCATGGTCACAATAAACCATTTTTTAAATCTCCCATCACATTCTTATTTGCAAACAGGAAAAAATAAATTCCCACTGTAAATAATGCTACTTAAAATGTTCACCAAAAGGAAGGATGGTCAAGTCAATTTTGATCTGCGAATTCTTGCGATTGTTAGAAATCACTGGAATGACCTGTAACTAGACAGAAACAGGGTGTCCTTGTTTGCTTCTTAGTTGCTGTGATAAAACACTGGCCAAAAGCAACTTGGGGAGGAAAGTGTTTATTTATTTCATCTACAGTTTCAAACAATAGTCCATCATCAAGGAGACTCAAGGCCAGAACCTGCGAACAAGAAATGAAGCAGAGACTATGGAAGAACACTGTTGCTTTCTGGCTTGTTCTCTAGGGCTCACTCACCTGCTTCCTTACACAACCCAGGTCCACCTGCCCAGGTGGCACTGCCCACAGGGGGATGGCGTCTCTCCCATATCGGTCATTAATCAAGACAATGTCCACAGGCTTCTCTAGAGTCCAGTTTGATGGAAGCAATTCTCCAACTGAGGTCCCTGCTTCCTAGGTGACTCTATCTGTGTCATGCTTATGAAAACTAGCAGCCATACCCGACATCGCTGGACTTCAAGCTCTAACTCACAGTTGCAACTTTTGTTTTTAGATTTACTTTATGTGTACAGGTGTCTTACCTGTGTGTATGTGCACCAAGTACATGTGCTGCCCACAGAGGCCAGAGGGCATCAGATCCCCTAGGACTAGAGTTTCAGATATTTGTGAACTACCATGTGAGTGCTGGGAATTGAACCTGTGTCCTCAAGAAGATCAGCCAGTGCTCTTAACCACTGAGCTCTCCCTCCAGTTCCTACAGCTGCAAGCTCTGATGAAGCCACATTTGTGAAGCTGGCTTTTAGGCAGACTATGGGAAATACACCACATGAAGATGGATAAAGAAACTAGCCTAGTGTCCAGCCTGAGTCCACCATTGGAGGAGTCAGGCAGTAGCAACAGAAGCACACTTGTCATTAGTAAGCAGAGTGGTTACTAAAGGGAAATTACTGTGTGTCCATGTCTGTGGATGGGCACACACATGGGCATCACGTGTGGTCACGGGACAGCATGGTGGAGTTCATTCTCTCCTCACCTTGAGCTCAAGTCACCAGACCTCTGTGGTGACACTGTTACCTGATGAGCCATCTTACATTTCTTCAATTTATCTGCATTATCTTTTCCTGATGGTTTTAAGTTCTCAGGGCATAAATCTGATTAAATTCTTTGGACTTCAGTATTTACTAAATGAAGTTAATAGCACTACGACAAGCACTGTACTATTACGTACCCCATGAGAAAGAAAGCTGGAACCTCTGGTATACATCAGAACAACAGGTCTATGAAACGAAGAGCAGCAAAAACAGGGGAATTGGGAAACTTGAGCTGGAGAGTAAGAATCGGTCGTATTTCTTCTCAAAATATTTTTTTAAAATATTTTTGATACATTGATGTTGCCAAAAGTGAGGAGAAATAAATTAAGTCTTTCATAATTATAAAAACAGTCTATTGGTAAGTTATCTAATTAGAAATTCCAAACTGGTGATCACAGGTTTACCTACACTTTTTAGTTTTAATCACATGCAGATCTGGATGTGGTGAGCTGAATGGTAGTCTTTTGCAAGCTCTACCCACAGGACTTAAAAACTGTCCTGCTTACAGAGTCTTCGTGCTTGTATCCCAGGAAGGATCTAGAGATGAGAACACACTGGCTGTTCTGGGCAAGCCCAAACGCTAACACAACACAGAGCAGTGATGCAGAGAAGGCATGGGAGGCAGAGGCCGGGACTGCCGTTCTGCAGAACACCCAGTGCACAGACCTGGGAGAAGGCGAGGAGTCGTTTTCATGGAGGGCCTCCAGAGGAAGCAGTCCTGACAGTATCCACACTGGGAGAGAACAAGCAGTTTCAGGCCAGCAAGATGGCTCAGGCGACTAAGTTTGCTCTCTAGAATTTGTCCTTGGAATGACATAACCAACTCTACAAGGTTGTCCTCTGACCTCCATACACACACTGTAGCACGGGTGGCCCCCACCACCCACACAAAGGACAAAGTTTTAAAAGTAAAGTTAAAGTCACTGGGTTGTTACAGCACTCTCAGGATGCTAGCAAATACAGCATAAAAATAATCACCTCTGTGATCCTAACTGCTTTCCTCATTTGCTGCTGTTCCCAAATATCTTCATTTTCATCTTCCTGACTCTCTTCACTTGCTTCTTCATTTCCGATTGCTATAAAACAGAAGTGAACACAGTAAAACTCAGTCTTTTCCCAGCCTGACAGCAGTACTTAAATTTGGGGTTATTTCATGCCTGCTGAGTAACACCTCAAATGCTGTTTCCTTTTCATAATAATCCAGGGAGCGAGTACCTTCATTTTAAAAAGGAGATCTAACTCAGGGCTAAATAACTGCTCAGAGCACTCTCTCGCAATGAGAACTGTAGCCACTAGACGCCAGGGCCAGCCTTTCCTTTCTAACCACCTGCTTCCCCTAAAGAAAAGGCTGGGGAGAATGAAAGGTTTGGCATCTCATTAAAGATGTCACTGTGGGCCACTGAGATGGCTCAGCAAGTACATTTGCCATCAAGCCTGACAACGTGGTTCAGTCCTGAAGAATCTACATTGTAGAAGGAAAGAACCAACACCCACAGATTGTCCTCTGATCTCCATACTTACACTGTGGCATGTGTGTGCCCATACTCAAACATACACACAACACAAAATAAGAAAATAGGGCTAGCAAGATGGCCCAGCGACTAAAGGTGTCTGACATGAATTTAATGACCCGAGTTCCATCCCAGGACCCATTACACATGATGGAAGAGAAATAACTACTGCGATTTGTCCTCTGGACCTTCACACATGTGTACCCTGACTAACACATGCCCATACAAGCACTCACAACTACACTGTGCGAGCTCACACACATAAAATAAAACACTTTATTCACACCTAAGAACTGAACATCTAAAAACAGTTTCTGGAAGCTTGAAATGTAGCACAGTGGGCAGAACGCTTGCCTGGCACACATTAAGCCCTAAGTTCAAGCCCCACAACTGCGTTAAGTCTCATGTGGTTGCACATACCTATACAATTCTGGCACTTAAGACAGGGGTAAGAGGACGAGAAATTCAAGGTCATCTTTAGCTACATGGTAAGTCTGTGACTAGCCTAGATACACGAGATGGTGTCTCAGACATACAAAAATTTCTAAGTACAAGGAATCAGTTTTATTCTGCAGAAAACTATGGTAAGGCATACATGTTACAAATGAGAACAGCCTTTTGCAACCTAAGCATTGCTGGAAAGGGTTAAGTTTCATAATATTAGGGAAGATCTTAGCACATGAAACCTAAATTCTGCAGAATCTTCCATGCTACCAAAAGACTATCTAAAGGCTGCAATAATTTCCAATGTTTCAAACACAAGACTGTACAGTTCTTTTACCCATCAAAAACCCAGGAAGAGATCCAGCAATAGAAAACATCACAACACATACCCGGAAGTAACGATACGATAATACCATACCATTTAAAAGCCATGACACTGTGGACCAAATTGATAATAAAATTCAATAGTAACACTCAACACGAGACATGTGTTGGGGATTCAGCTGGGTACTACTTTGAGTGTGTCTGTGGGGAGGGGTAATACAGGCTCTCACTATGTGCTAGGATTACAGGAATGAGCCATCACAAATGGTCTATGTGGTTCTAGGGCTTGAACACAAGGCTTCATGCATGGTAGGCAAGACTCTGCCAACTGAGCTACATCCCCAGCTCCCATACCAGGTTTCTGAGAAATAACAGAAAACACTGTAATGACAAAATAGAAATTTCACTATTATAACGAAAATGTCATCTTTATATACTGGTAAGTAAATTAAATACATACATGTTTCTTCAGCCATTCTTTGTCTGAGTGTTTGAGGTTTTGGAGCAAAGAGTATTCTCTTTTCATGGTCATCAGGATCACTCTGTGGGTCCTCTTCACTGCTTCTCTTACTGTCAGAAGTGGTGGACGGATGGTTTACATCCAATGAAATATAGTCACGTGAGGTCCTGGCCAACTCACGTTTTCTGCGGGCTGCCTGAATAAAAGCTGCATCGGGGATCTTAACTGAAACAAATGAAGAGGACAATGAAAACCTAAGCTAAAGAGCATGCTCCATGCATTCAAGGCAACAAAAAGGCACCATAAAATTTCACTGTTCAGATAGATTTACATGACTGTAACAAATGGCTCAAAGTCTAGTCAATAAAGAAAAAATAATAATAGTGATATAAAACACACTATGTCGCACTACTGGGAAATGACACTGACACCGTTCCAAAAGGGTCTGAAGTGTTACTGGTCCCCCAAAAAAGAGTCTAGATAGCAGAAAACAAGTTATGAATATCTTAGTTACATTAAAGGGCCAGATGAACATTTTTGACTTCATGGGCCATAAAGTAAGGTCCATGGTAACTTCTTAACTTTTTTAGTGGAATACCAATGCAGACTTAGTTAATCAATATCTGAAACAGTATTAATGAGCATTGGGTGAGATTATGATCCAGAGGTGGTTATGTGCTAACATCTGAACTAACCAATCTTTCTTAAAAAAAAAAAAATATATATATATATATATATATATATACACACACACACACACATATATACATATATGTATGGATACATACATACATGTGTATGTGTACATGTGTGCATATTCAAAATATATACAATAAATATATAAGTAAAAACTATAAATTATATATAAATAAAATATATATTTTATATAAAATATATTATGTACATTATGCCACTTTGAGTCATTGTGAGTATCATACACATATTACATTGTCCTCCTTCAGGACATGCTATAGCTGGAATCAGCAACATTCTCACAGACAAATCTTACCAGCCTCTAGTTATGAGGCAGAGCTACCTGGGAGAGCTCAGCAGTTAAGAGCACACTAGGGCGCAAACTCCCTGCTTTGCGCCTTTTCTGGGCTATTAAAAGCTGTCTGACCTTGGGCATATCATGTAGTAAATAAGGACCTATTTGCTCCATACTTTTTACTGTCTTATCAACAGTAAGAGTTACTGGTAGATAAAGTACTCTTTAGAGCTGGGCACAGGGGTACATCATAATCTCAGAAGGCAGATGGTGATTTTGATATAGTTAGGCTATAGAATAAAAGACAGACCAGCCTGGGGTACAAAGTGAGACGCTGTCTCAAAAAAGGAAGTTAGTTAACTTATTTACATAAAATGACAAAAATTACCAACCTATGGGTGAAACTTCCTTTTCTTCCAGAGAACTAGAGCTATTGGAGGATGGACTCTGGTCATCCTTACTTTCCGATAAGGGATGTGTTCCTTCTTCTTCATCAGAGGAGAGATCAGCTTTTCTGGATTCTAAAAGGACACCATTAGAAGCAAAAAAGTCAAAACGTTAGAATCAATAACTAAAACAAACATCAATTCATAAGATTACCTCTTAATTCAACGTGATGCTCTGGAGCAGGGAAACATTTTAAAGGAGATGCTGGGAGGTGGACCAGAGGTCAAGAACACATACTGTCCTTGCCGAAGACCTGAGTCCAGCTCCAGCACTGGTGCCAGGCAGCTCACAACTTCCTGTAACTCCAGTTCCAGGGGATCTGGCACCTCTGGCCTCTGTCACACTACACATACTCACACATGCAAACACATACATGCATAGTTAAATAAATAACTAAAAATAATAAAACATGGAAGGAATAAAGCTGCGGCTCACGTCTTAGCATGCCTACTGCCACTGGGTTCCGCTAAAGCAGTGATTCTCAAAGCATGGTCAATCCTTGGCCATCCCAGGGTCTTGTCAGAGAATGTGTAAAATCAAAATTACTTTAATCCTGATAGGCATGTTATTTTTCCTTTCCCTGTGTTGACTGTGCAACAAGAAGGCACAAATGTGGTAAAGTCCTCGCCTCAGCACAAAGGCGGCGATCCCAGCCTGCAGACAGTCATTGTACTCTTTATCACCGCACAACAGGAGACTTGAAAGAAGCCAGTTTCACTCACATTTGTTGATGAAGCGATGACAAGTATTAATTTTGTTACGTATTAAACCGAGTACATATCTTTTTAAGGATAGTGGTAACAAAATTGAAACAACCCATGGAAACATTTGGGACCTCTATTTTTATTTATCTGGACTCACTTTGTAGACCAGGCCGGAACTCAGAGGTCTGCCTGCCTCTGCCTCCCTGAGTGCTGGGATTACAGTTGTGAACCACCGCACCCAGCAGGACCTCTCTTTTTAAGAGTTACAAAGAGAGTTTAAAGGCAAAAGAAGTTGGAGAACCGCTGCTCAAGAAGGGAAGGGAAGATGAGTCCTGGCCTCAGTATACTTAATCAAGGTGAGCCAGATGACTGGCACATTTTGTTAAAAACTCAAAAGATCATTCAAACTTTAGATGAACAGGTGCCCCAACAGAGCCAAACCTTGAAGACATTATTTTAAGTGATATAAGCGACGCACAGAAGGACAAATATGTTTAGTTCTCATTAGTACGTAGAATCTAATCAATTTGAAGGAAATAGAGACAGAGAGGAATGGCAGCTAATCCGAGCTGATGAGGGGATATGTTGGCAAAAGTCAGAAAATTTTACAAGGGCAAGTTTAGGTTATCTATTGTATGACACAGTGTCCACGGTTGGTACCGGTGTGCTGTACGCTCTACTTGAAAACGGCTGGAGGAGTTTGTGTTCCCACCATGAAAAAAATGAACTAGACCCATGTAAACAACCCAAAGTGTACACATATTTCAAATCATCTTGTACACTATTAAGTATATCTATTTTCATTTTCAAGTAAGCATATATAAGAAATCACTAATATTCTTTAATGGGGCCAAAAATACTAGGGAGAAAGCCAGGACTTCAAGACTAAGGGAGTTTAAATGTTCTGCCTGCATGTACCCGTGCAGGCATGTTTGTGTGTACACACATATGTACATCGCATATCTTTGGTGCCCAACGAAGTCAGAGAAGGGCTTCCAAACTCCTAGTTATAGCGGGCCTCCAGTGGGCGCCGGACACAGAACCCAGGTCCTCTGGAAAAGCAGCCAGTGCTCCTGGCTGCTGAGCGGGCTCACCAGCCCTCAAGACTTTGTATTTGATCACACAAATGGAATAGTTCATAGTGTCACCAATCTCAGTCACAACACCTCGTTTTACATTATTTTCATCTACTTTTTTTTTCTGTCGTTTCAGATAGTTAACTTTTAAGATGGCAACGTTCCAAACCCTGTGTCTTATTCTTTTAATGAACTGGCAGGCGTTCTTAGGAAGCTCTGAGGCACATGACTTCCGTCTACATCTAACAGCTAACAGCATCAGCAACCGTTCGACTCCTCTCTGAGGATCTGTGTTCACTGTGAGCATCCATGGCTGTGCACGTCAGAGTGGGTCACCCGAGGGCGCAAACTGCCAAGTGTTACCACGATCTACAGGAGCCTCCAGCAGCCCCGGCTTCGCAGAGCACGAGTGCGGCCGGCCACAGGGCCCCGCCGATCGGACCCCTTCCCGCGCGGTCACCTGCGTCGCGGTCCTCGCGTGGAGCGGCCCCGGGGCTGCGCCGGGAACTCGCCCAGACGCGGCCCCGGGCGCCGCGGGCCCCGCGCGGCCGCCCGGCTCCCTCGGCTCCTCCGCCTGCCTTCGCCGGCTCCTCGGCGCTCCGCTCCTCCGCGCCGTCGCCGTCGCTGTCGCTGGACTCCACCTGGCGCCGCCTGAAGGTCTTCTGAGGCCTGAGCGCCATATCCCACAAGGCCGGCGCGCGTCCCGACGTGCTTCCGCGCCTGCGCAGTCGCCCCGGGCTGCGCGTGCGTGGTTGTGAGGTGTGCGGCGGGGCTGGCGGCTTCCGGGTGCACGGGTTGAGCCGATTCCTTCTTCCTAGTGGGATAGCTGAGCACCGCCCAGGGGTTCTCGGAACTTCCTACGGCCGAGGTCCGGGAGGGGGCCTGCACTCCTCCCCCACCCCGAGCAGACAGACGGGGGTGGGGGATAAACAGTGGAATTAAGCGTAAATGATAAGCTCAGAAATAAGCAAAATCAAATCATTGTCTTGGGGCACTGGACTTCGGATCTGACCGGAGTTGAGAGCTGAGTCCTGGGGAAGAGATTCCGGGACTCTCCGTTGTTGCAGCCCCACAGATTGAAAGACCCCCCTGAGGGTATCTTTCATCTGAGAGACCCCCTCCCAAAGATCAGCGAGTCCAGGCGTTCGGATGCAAACAGCAAGAGGCTTTATTGGATACACGGGTACCCGGGCGGAAAGTCACTCAGATGACTTTACGCGCCTTACCGGGTAGAAAGCTGGGTTTTTTTATAGGGTTAGAGCAGAAGCACTGATATAGAAGCGAGAAGCATAGTTACAGGGAGCTGATTGGCTCTTTCACATGAAACCATAACATGAATCAGGTTGGCAGGGACACCAGAATTCCAGGAACTGGGTGGTCATAACAATTATGACGACCTTGACTAGTGCCGCCATATGTTGCTTTTCCCAGGACTCCTATCTCAGCCGGACCTCCTGTCAGATATCCCATGAGGGTGGTCAGGACAAAGTTGTTTTTGGCTCAGTTGGGGCAGCCTTGACCGCAGATATCTTGAGGGGGGTGACTTAGCTGGATTTTCTCAGAGTAATTTTTAGTTCCCATCCGGCCTTTACTATTTTTCCCAGAACTGTGGTACACCGCAAAATGGCATGGCATTAGCTATGTTTAACTCTGTTCAACTCAGGGTGATATGGGGTCTTTCAAGATGAGCAGCTTGGCAGCCCGAGAGCCTTGTTTGAGCCCAGCCGGAGAGGCTTCAAGCATGCGTTCCACTTGACGGAGTAAGATCTGCCCACGTTGTGTGTGAGAATTCCGGAGAGCGTCTGCGAAGTCTGCAGGGGAGAGCCCGGTTCTGCCAGTCAAAGGAGCAAGGATGCTCTTGGACAGCAACTGAGACCCGTGGCTGCGATCTCCTCACAGCACTCTGTTCACTTAGCGTTTCGGGCAGTGTATTTTAAAAACGCTTTGGTTGTGACTTGACTTTTTCTGTTACTATAAAATCTTCAGTAAGCTTTCCATGTTGACTATGCAACTTGGAAAGGCAGAAATCTGTTTCAGGGCCATGGTCACCCATTTGGCTCCAAACTCAAACTCCCTTTGGGGTGAGAACTGTGTTTTTACACTGACGCCTGTATGGGTCCCAGACAGCCTAGAGAGAGTAAAATCAGAAGGTGAGTTGGTCTGTCAGAGCTGTGGCTAAGGGTTTGCATTGCTTCCGTAAGTGTCAGATTCCATGCTTTAGACACCTGGACTCCCGGCCTTACCACCTGCATCATACCGCAACCAGAATCCAGCTTAGCATCCTTCTGTTGTTTGTCAGAAAGGCTTTGATTACCCATCAAAATAGCTCATATGGCTACATTCATAAAGCAGAGTGCACAGTTACCAAACATAGTTGTTGGCACCTAAATCAGAAACACTCTTCACAGGTTCATGGCTTTGAAAACCTGCTCCCCAGGTTGTGGCACTGTTTGGGACAGTTATTCCACCTTTGGGACTATGGCAAAAGTGGTTCTCTAGAGGTAGGTCTTGCAGGTGATGATAACCTCTGACCGGAGTGCTCCACTTCCTGATTGGCTAAGGTGTGGAGTTACAGCTTGACACACAGTCCTGCCACCACTGACCAAGCCATTGGCCTGGCCTGTCCTGGCATGATGGAGGGTACCTGTAGGGGAAGCTTTGCTTTCTTTAAAAAGTCAGTTATGTAAACAGGATATTGTTTTAATCCCAGGTGTGGGATATGGAGCTGCTTTAGTCTGTTCACAGCTGTTAACTATGATTGTCTAGTTCTCTGAGAGGAGCATGGTGTTTGCCAGCTGCAGATAGTTTACGTCTGAGGACTCTGAAAGAGAATAAATTCCAGAGCCCAGAGAGGAACTGGGGGACTAGAAGGAAGAAGGCAAATGCTGCTGGTTCGTCCTGCTGCTTCGTTTGTTGGGTTTGCTGGACTGCTGGACTGCTACTTATCCTGACTACGAAAACTGGACTTGCCCCAAGAAGCTATAAACAGCAGGAAGTGTTAAAGAGACATACACTGCCCCTTTCCTCTCTAATCTTCTTTCTCTTCCAACTAGTGTTGGGGGGTTGGAAGGGGAAAGAGGTATAGGAACCCCAATAAAATAGATAAAAAATGTACAGCTTACAGGCACCCTCAAAACTATGAGTCAAAGTAAACGTCTCATCACTTCACTTGCTTCTGCCAGGCATTTTGTCACAGTGACTTGAGAAAAGTCATCTATAATAATGACATGTGTATTTATAGTTTTCTTTTCACTCTATTGAGTTTTAAATGTTTATATTTTTAACATGTATTTGTGTGTGTGTTCCAATGATACATTATGCCGAGGGTAAGAGCATAGTTATTGGGAATCAGGTCTTTCCTCTCAGCATGTGAGATGGGAGTTTGGTTCAGATCATCAGCCTTCCAAGCAAGCACCTGTGCAAGCTGTGCCATCTTACCAGCAGTACCTCTGGAGGCGAGTTACCTCCTGGCTGGATGGCTTTTCTTCAAGGCAAGGTCTTACTCTGTAGCCCAGGCTTGCCTCAAAGTCATGTAAGGGTCTACTCAGCTTTCTAAGTGCCAGGGCTATAGGTCTGAGCCAGCATACCCAGGAAGCTCATGTCTTTTACTCAAGTTACTTACTTGCCCTGGGCCTCGGTGACATCAGAGAGGAACAAATCAGCCGCCTTCTAGCCCTAAAACATCATGAAGCCATAAGATATTTCTTCCTCTGTCACCTCTGAGTTTTCTCATCCCACCATGGCTTACCTTAGTGCCTTCTGATACTGCAAAAACTCTCCATCTTGGAAAAGGTCAAATCAGAGGACACGGAGGCCAACCAAGGACAACTGAAGAAGGTTCTTTCCTGTTCCTGACACAGGTAGCTCATGGATTCCAAGTCCACTGTTGGCCTCGCCCATGCCCGTGCCCATGCACAAACGGCCTAATTAAACTCTGTTTTGTTGTCATTTTGTATAGGCGATGGAGCATGAGAGAGAGAGATCCGTGGGAAAAGGTGCTTGCCACCACGCCTGACAAGCTAAGTTAATCACTGCGTCCCACCTGGACGACTCCTGCACGTCGTCCTTTGACTTCCATGTGCACACTACAGACCTGACCCCCACAGAGAGAGGGAGAGAGAAAGTGTGTGCACACCCAACCAAATATAACCGCTTAAAAACACATCAGAAGGGGGTATATTGAGAATAAGGGTTTCAGAGGGAAAGGGATAGGAATAAGGAAGAAGACAGAGCCTAAAAACGATCAACATTATAGACATACAGGGAGTTTCCTAAGACTGATTGACTAGTTAAAGGTGAGTTGAGACAACATTTTGTGCGGCACCTCTCCAAGCCCATTTGCTTGCAATCAGACCCTTCATTTAATGTGTTTGTGATTCCTGATCATTCAGATCATTCTAGAGTGGAAAACAAAGTTAACTTTTATTGTAGAAGAAAATGACATCTTAACTTTTAAATAACATACTATCAACAAAATCAACACAGAGGGGGTGTGAGCTCCCTACTTATTTACCAAAAGAGAGCTTCATGCGAGCCAGGCTGGACCACATTCTCTAGGTACCCCAGGATGATCCCATACTCCTTATCCTCCTGTTTCTACCATCAAAATAGTGATGAACACCACAACACATGTAGGACGTACTGGGGATTATGTTCGCCTTTGTGATTGAAAGGCAAGCATCTCCCAGCGGAGCCACAACTCCAGCTCCAAGCTTCTAATTTGAGATGTTCCCCAAAGACCAGAGATTCTCAGCTCAGAGGTGAAACTAATGGTGGCGGCAGCTACTGCTTCAGGCCTGGCAACCACTCCTCCCACTGAGCTCTCTTTCTGATCTGAATCAGTCTTCCTGTCTATCTTTGCACATATTTTCTAGAGTCACTTGTGAAATATTCCTGTTTAAAAAAAAAGAATCAAGTAGAAAAAAAATAAATTTAAAATAAAAAATAAAAATAAATAAAATTGAAACAAGTGGCCATTAAAAAAAAAAAAGAATCAGTAGGTTCACTGCAGTTTTGATAATTATCAGCAATAATAAAAATCACTTACTTCCCACCCCCTGAGGAGATTGTTCACGTTTGGCATAAAATCCTTACTGATTCATTGATCTGAGGAAGTCTGTTTATGTAGCCTATGGTGGCTTTAAACAAGTGATCCTCCTGCATCAGCCTCTTGTGTACTGACATAGGTGTAACTATGGCCAGATTCAGAAGAGGTCTTTACAACTGGATACCTGTGCAAAAACATGATACATATGTGTGTGTGTGTGTGTGTGTGTGTGTGTATGTGTGTGTGTTCTCTCATATTTTACATCTGGACCACAATTTCCCAAGCCACCTCCCCTCTTCCCCAGATCCACTGCCCTCCTCCTCCGCCTCCATCTGCCTCCCCTCAGAAAAGAGCAGGTCTCCCAGGGAACCGACCTACCAGGGCATAACAAGCTACATGAGCAGGCACACACCATCACATCAAGGCTGGTCAAGGCAGCCCAGTAACAGGGAAAGAGTTCCACAAGTAGGCAAAGGAGTAAGAAACAGCCCAGTTACGTCTGTTAGGATTCCCACAAGAACACCAAGGTACTCAGTCATAATATATATGAAGAGGAACAAGATCAGAACCCTACAGGCTCCCTGATCTCTGTGAGTCCCCAGGAGTTCCCGGTCACTTGATTCCGTGGGCTGAGTTCTCCTGGCCTGTCCCCTCTC